GTGAATGTGTGTGTGTGTGTGTGTGTGTGTGTGTGTGTGTGTGAGTGTGAATGTGTGTGTGTGAGTGTGAATGTGTGTGTGTGTGTGTCTGTGTGTTCTTTCTCTGCTCGTTGACTGACTGTAGTTTATTCAGCTACTCAACCTCCTTTGACCTTTGACACTGAGTTCTCCCCCTAGCAACATCCTAGCAACCACTCAGAATCAGAAGAATCGCACAGCAACAAGTGAAAAATTCCACTTGTAACGTCTTAGCAACCAAACATCAACGCCCTGGCAACAAGAACACTTCAGCTTTGCACAGACAAGCATCACTCACATTTTCCTTCATAAAATATCAGTTTTAGAATATTATTCATAAAAAAAAAGTTATGAATATACTGTTAGTACTGTCAGAATATACTGAGAACAAAAATGATGTGGAAATATTTTTCACTCAGAAATTGCTGCGTTTCACAAATAATTACAAAGATGCAGCAAGTGGCATTGAATTAAATAGTAGAAGGACCGAAAACGTATTTTCTTGTGAAACACTCTCTATTAATATTTATTTACAACATATATTTTACAGTGTGACAAGTGAGACAAAGCAATATATAAACTATAAACATGTGGTGAACGGAAACTAGGCCTACATCAGATATCATTTTTTGCGTTCACATTTGCTCCAGTAGCAAAAGATTTAACTCCACTGCATTTCTATGACTTTCCAAAAGACTGCCACAAATGAATTGCTCTTTTGATCTGTTTTTTTTTGCTAGTGAATCGAGTTTGAGTTTGAATCACTCGGAGCTGTTCCAACATAAATGACTCACTCAATTGAATCAGTCATTCCATTACGAAAATTAACCATGGTTTTATTGCAGTAACCATGTTTTTTTTTGCCGTATTGACTACCATTTGTATAGCCACAGTTTTACTACAAATACCATGGTTAAACTATGGCTAGTGTTGCAAAACCATGGTTAATTTGTGGCTACCATGGTTTAACTGTAGTAGGCTAATCGTGGTGTTTTGGTATTGCTTGTAGTAAAACATGGTTAATTTTCGTAAGAGATATTTTAGCAAATATATTTTTGGCCATTTTTGTATGTTTTGAAAATTATAAACGCATTTAAAAAATATTGATAGATTTTCATACGGCTCCAGAATAAGTGTGAGCAGTGTTGGGGAAAGTTACTTTTAAAAGTAATGCATTACAATGTTGCGTTACTCCATAAAAAAGTAACTAATTATGTTACTTAGTTACTTTTTATGGAAAGTAGTGCGTTACGTTACTTTTGCGTTACTTTTTAAATCTGGACAGGGCTTGCTTGTTTGTTTTTAAAATACAAAAGTTATATTTTTGGCAAATATAAAAGCCTTTCACAGCAAAAGTGAAATGAATGCGCCTCAGGCTGAAGGGAAAGTACAGTAGAATGCAGAAGAAGACATTTCAACACTTCAGCAATAAACAAACACACAGATGTGTGTCTAGAGTAATGTGTGATTATTAGTACGCTTGAACCGGATCATCGAAGCTCAGAAGCTAATAGAATGGGATTAAATGCATAAAGCATATTTGTGTTGTTTAACATTTAATTATTGCAGGTTTGCGTCATATTCTGAGTTGCATTATTTGTATTCATTTTGAGGAATACTGAATCTGTTTTTTTTTTGTGTGTGAGTGAGATGAATTAATGCATATTCATATTTATTTTAGAACTACGGTAACATCTTCTGATTTCTGTCACCATGGCGACACCAGAGCTGTCAATCAATAAATTGGGGAAAAAAGTAACTTGCGTTACTTGTTTTGAAAAAGTAACTCAGATATTCTCGTAAATTAAGAAGTAATTCGTAACTTTACTAGTTACTTGAAAAAAGTAATCTGATTACGTAACTTGCGTTACTTCTACTGCGTTACCCACAACACTGTCTCTCTCTGTGTGTGTGTGTGTGTGTGTGTGTGTGTGTGTGTGTGTGTGTGTGTGTGTGTGTGTGTGTGTGTGTGTGTGTGTGTGTGTGTGTGTGTGTGTGTGTGTGTGTGTGTGTGTGTGTGTGTGTGTGTGTCTGTGTGTGTGTCTATGTGTGTGTGTGTGTGTTAGAGCCGTCTGTGCGTAGGATCGTAGCGGCGCCTTCTGTTGGTCGCTGGCAGTGGCAGGTGTTTATCGCGATCAGTGTAACGGCTCTGATTCTGCTTCTGCTGATCATCACAGTGTCTGTAAGCCGTGAGTAAAACTCACCGAAAAACATCATCATATCATACTGACAAGCATGTTATGTCCTATTTGTCTTTATTAATGTCTAAATAACTTATATTGTCAGAGTGGAATGGTTCAAGTCGGTCGGAAAGATCGTATTTACAAGTTGAGTAGGGCGAATTTTGATTTGACATTGGTGGGGACATCCCCCCCCCCTCCCCAATCCAACTACCGCAACATTTTTGCATTTATGATCGATATTTGATCACAGTTTCATGCCATCTAAAGTCTTTATTTATAGCTATGGTAGCTATAACATAGACTACTCATAATTCATAAAGAGAGCTTTTTATGTTAGCATACACTCTAAAAAATGCTGGGTTGTTTTAACCCAACTTTGGGTCAAATATGGACTAACCCAACTTTTGGGTTAAAAATGTAATTGAAATGTTTAACCCAACGGTTGGGTTAGTCCATATTTGACCCAAAGTTGGGTTAAAACAATCCAGCATTTTTTAGAGTGTAGTTACACAATTTTGATAACGTAAAACCAACAACATTACAGTAGCAGTTTTAAAGATGTTTTCTTTGGATTGTTTGACCAGCTACTCAAAAGAGAATATAGCCAAATATAACCTTATTAATTTGTGTTTCCTGCTAGCTGAATTTCACATAAACAAGAATCTGGCTCTAAATTGCTCTTTTCTTTATTCAAAGTTTGGAAGAAGAAAAAAACACAAATTAGTAACCACAAATTAACCATGATTTTGCTACACTGAACATAGTTTAACCATGGTATTTGTAGTAAAACCGGTTATACAAATGGTAATCAATACACTTTTGCTATAATAAAACCATGGTTAATTTTATTAAGGGATTTCTATCTGTGTATACTTTTAATCTTTGTTTTGTTTTTATAACTGCCTGGTTTGATGATTTGCACTGTTTAATAAAAAAGAAAGAATTTAATGTATATACGGTATATATATATATATATATATATATATATATTTGTTTTTAAATAAACACAATTTTATATATACAACAATAACTTCTTAAATAGACACAAGGGTAAAAAAAAACTTTTTTTTTGGTAGAAAATGTACATCGCATTGTAACTACTTCCCAAATCGTAAATACAAACTTGACTTGAACGCAGCATAATACGACCAAAAAGTAATGTGGAATATGTACACAAATAAGTGCATATTTTCATACATTTTACACAGTTTAAACTAGAGCCATCAATAAAAAATAATGATGTTTAATTTTTTCATATGTGTAACTGTATATATATATATATATATATATATATATATATATATATATATATATTTGTTTTTAAATAAACACAATTTTATATATACAACAATAACTTCTTAAATAGACACAAGGGTAAAAAAAAACTTTTTTTTTGGTAGAAAATGTACATCGCATTGTAACTACTTCCCAAATCGTAAATACAAACTTGACTTGAACGCAGCATAATACGACCAAAAAGTAATGTGGAATATGTACACAAATAAGTGCATATTTTCATACATTTTACACAGTTTAAACTAGAGCCATCAATAAAAAATAATGATGTTTAATTTTTTCATATGTGTAACTGTGTTTTGTTAGATGTGAAGTTTGACAGGAAGTTCTCAACTGCAGAGATGAACGTACAGAATCTGACGCAAACGCTCGTGAGCGTCATAACCAGAACACGTGACCTAGAGGAACACGGTAATGTAGCCTTCATCATCTTTCATCCAAATGAAACGACTTTCTCATCTGACGTCATCAATCGCTCTTATTCATTAACTAGTAAATCAACTAGAAAATCAAGTCCCACCTCACTGAATTTTTTCAACTATTATCACAATATAGAAGTTTAAATTTTTTACAATGATGTGTGTTCAGGACATAAACTGCTTTTGGAGATCAGCAATCTGGAGCTTAATCAAGAGACGATGCAAAGCATGGTTAATGATAGTAAGTAGCACACAAAAACACACGCAGACAAACCAAACTAGACAAACTAATGTACAGATCTTAATATATGTGTGTTTGTTTAGTGTCGGATTCAGCGCAGGTGCTCCGTGACAAAGTTTCGAATCTGAAATGCCAGATTAACAAGATAAGGAACAACAGTAAGTGATGCTGTATTAGTGTGTCCTCATGTCTCGTGCAGAGCGTGACACACGTGTGTATGTTCAGACACGGAGGAGCTGTGCTGTCCTGATGGATGGCTGCTGTTTTCCTCACACTGTTATTTCTTCTCTGATGACGGGATGCCGTGGGACGCGGCCAGAGACGAGTGTAAGAAGAAGAGATCAGAGTTGCTCGTCTTAAAAAGCAAACAGGAGAAGGTCAGAGCTGATCCGTACTGTACAACTAAACCAACACAAATAAACCAACAGAGTGTAACCAACAGCACCAGACACACAACTAAACTAACAGAACTACTCATCACAACTAAACCAACAGCACCAGACACACGACTAAGCCAACAGAACTACTCAACACAACTAAACCAACAGCACCAGACACACGACTAAGCCAACAGAACTACTCAACACAACTAAACCAACAGCACCAGACACACGACTAAGCCAACAGAACTACTCAACACAACTAAACCAACAGCACCAGACACACGACTAAGCCAACAGAACTACTCAACACAACTAAACCAACAGCACCAGACACACGACTAAGCCAACAGAACTACTCAACACAACTAAACCAACAGCACCAGACACACGACTAAGCCAACAGAACTACTCAACACAACTAAACCAACAGCACCAGACACACGACTAAGCCAACAGAACTACTCAACACAACTAAACCAACAGCACCAGACACACGACTAAGCCAACAGAACTACTCAACACAACTAAACCAACAGCACCAGACACACGACTAAGCCAACAGAACTACTCAACACAACTAAACCAACAGCACCAGACACACGACTAAGCCAACAGAACTACTCAACACAACTAAACCAACAGCACCAGACACACGACTAAGCCAACAGAACTACTCAACACAACTAAACCAACAGCACCAGACACACGACTAAGCCAACAGAACTACTCAACACAACTAAACCAACAGCACCAGACACACGACTAAGCCAACAGAACTACTCAACACAACTAAACCAACAGCACCAGACACACGACTAAGCCAACAGAACTACTCAACACAACTAAACCAACAGCACCAGACACACGACTAAGCCAACAGAACTACTCAACACAACTAAACCAACAGCACCAGACACACGACTAAGCCAACAGAACTACTCAACACAACTAAACCAACAGCACCAGACACACGACTAAGCCAACAGAACTACTCAACACAACTAAACCAACAGCACCAGACACACGACTAAGCCAACAGAACTACTCAACACAACTAAACCAACAGCACCAGACACACGACTAAGCCAACAGAACTACTCAACACAACTAAACCAACAGCACCAGACACACGACTAAGCCAACAGAACTACTCAACACAACTAAACCAACAGCACCAGACACACGACTAAGCCAACAGAACTACTCAACACAACTAAACCAACAGCACCAGACACACCACTAAACCAACAGCACCAGACACACAACTAAACCAACAGAACTACTCAACACAACTAAACCATCACAACTTAACCAGAACAACTAAACCAACACAACTAATCAACACAACTAAACCAACACATCTTAACCAGGCATGCGTTTCCCAATAGCATCGCTAGCTAACTATGGTAGTTTAGTTAGTTCCATTGAAATCTATTGGCAACGACAGAACTTGCGACAATAGTTGCTTTTGGGAAACCCACCCCAGAACAACTAAAAACCAACAGAACTACTCATCACAACTAAACCAACAGCACCAGACACACAAATAAACCAACAGAACTACTCAACACAACTAAACTAACAGCACCAGACACACAACTAAACCAACACATCTTAACCAGGCATGCGTTTCCCAAAAGCATCGCTAGCTAACTATGGTAGTTTAGTTAGTTCCATTGAAATCTATTGGCAACGACAGAACTTGCGACAATAGTTGCTTTTGAGAAACGCACCCCAGAACAACTAAACCAACACAACTAAAGCAACAGAACTACTCAACACAACTAATCCAACACAACTTAACCAGAACAACTAAACCAACACAACTAAAGCAACAGAACTACTCAACACAACTAATCCAACACAACTTAACCAGAACAACTAAACCAACAGATCAAAACCAAAACAAGTAAACAAACACAAACCAAACCAACCAAGACAAATAAATAAACACAACTAAACAAAAACAAATACACTAAAGCAACCAAACCAACAAAGCTAAACCAAAACAACTAAACCAACACATTTAACCAAATCAAATTAATGAAAACAACTAAACCAACACAACTAAACCAACAGCATCAACAACACAAGTAAACCAGCAGAAATAAAGTAAATCAATCGACACAAACTAAAACATATTCGTTTGTCTATTCTATTCGTTTTGGTCTAATTTATAAAATTTTTTTAAAAACTTGCTATGTGTACTGTGCTAGGCTAACTAAGATTTGTCACAGCACTTGTTGCTCTCTCGTTGATCTGATTGCTTCTACTTTGTAAGTCGCTTTGGATAAAAGCATCAGCTAAATGACTTAATGTAAATGTAAAGCAGCATGTTTATTCAGACTGAATCAGTGCTTTAGTAATCATGTGTGTGTGTGTGTGTGTGTGTGTGTGTGTGTGTGTGTCTGTGAGTGTGTGTTCAGAGTTTCGTGGCCAGTAAGACCAGGCCTCTGTTCTACTGGCTGGGTTTGACTGACGCCCACACCGGTGAGTGGGAATGGCTGGACGGGACGCCGTACACGATCATCAGGAGGTGAGTGTGTGTCCAGCATCAGGAGCTTCGTTCACACTCCAGCATTCATCACATGTGTGTGTGTGTGTGTGTGTGCAGTGAATGGATGCCCGGTCAGCCGGATGACTGGACGGCTCACGGTTTGGGAGGTGGTGAAGACTGCGCTCACTTTCATCACGACGGACGCTATAATGACGACCACTGCTCTCGGCGCTACCGCTACGTCTGCAAAGCTCACGCCTCCTCCATCTGAGACACGAATGTCCTTCACAGCGTCAACACTTTACAACAAAACTACATCAAACCAACAAACAACATCAGTGTGAATATAAACACTAAAAATGTTTAATATTTCAAGGTTTCTGATTCTTATATTTACTGTATATAAACAACAAAAACAATTCATTTGTTTAATTTTTATTTTATATTGATTTTGGAGGCATGACAATGTATTTTAGTTTAGTTAGTCATGTCTTAGTTCAGTTTCTCACGTTACTGTGCTACAGAAAAATTTTGCTCTGGATGAAAGCAATCGCTAAACGAATAAATGTAACTCTGTACTTTTGATGCTACTGCCACGCTTAAAAATGAACATTAACTGAAAGTGTCCGCTGAAAGTGTAACTGAAACTGTTCACTGTTTTTACTGTATTTTTGATCAAATAAATGCAGCCTTTGTGAGCAGAAGAGACTCTTTCAAAAACATTTAAAAAACCCAAACTTTTGAACAGTACTAGCATAGTACTGCATAAAAAAAACTAGCATTAAAAAAAAAAAAAAATTGTGCATTTTTTATGCACAATGGCGCCGACGCTGATGGCTGCCTCCGTGGCGTGCTCATCAGTTGTTTTTATGTTTTTGTTAGTTTGTCCTGTCTTTAGTTATATCCCTGCAATCAGTTTCACCAGAGACGAATTGCTGGACATTAGAAAGTACACACCACCCGATATTTCACCGGTTTTCGACTATTCGGATGTTTTGCTGGACATTGTTGTCGGGGGAGCAGCGGCGCTGATCAAACGCTTCAGGAAGCAAGCCGGCACCCTCGTGAAGCTCAGACAGCGCGGATTCAGGACGCCGTTGCCTAGCATCCATCTGGCGAACCTCCGCTCTCTACCCAACAAAACAGACGAACTCATTCTGCTCTCCCGGACAAATAAGGATTTTTCTAACTCTGCTGCTCTGTGTTTCACGGAAACCTGGCTGAAAGACGCCATTCCGGACAGCGCGTTGAGTCTGCCGGGTTTTCAGCTGTTCAGAGCAGATCGCGACGCAGAATCACCGGGGAAATCACGCGGTGGCGGGACATGCTTTTACATCAATGAGAGGTGGTGTACAGATGTAACTGTGTTAAAGAAGTGTGCTGTTCAGATCTAGAAGTGCTCTTCATTAATTGCATGCTCGTTCATTCTCGTCAGTGTGTACATCCCTCCGCAAGCACACATGACCTGGCAATAAAAACTCATTCTGATTCTGATCTGATTCATAGCTTTCTCTCTACTTCCATGTGGGCTTGACATTTTTATCACGAGACCCGCAAGTAAACATTGAACTTTCAGGGGCGGTGCTGCTGCTCTTCCTCAGGCATCCAGCAGGGGGTGACATGCGAAACTTTTCTGCAGACATCTGCATCGGTTTGAGGACCTGAGAGAGCCTTAGTGAAGCCGCGCGGGTCAGTGCAGGCGCTTTAGCCTGGTTTCCAGGAGTGGTGGCGTGGCGTGTCGTTGACGCCACGGTGTTGCGAGCGAAGCTGGGCGGTTTGACCGTGGAATTGCACGCTGAGGTTTGAGGACTGGGACAGTCGAGGCTGCGGAGTGTAACGCGACACATCTTCTCCTCCGGACGAAACGCTTGCGTCGTCTTTGCGCGGCTGAGGACGCTTCGATTGGTTCGCTCCTGAATTTGTGCAGAAGAACTACGGGGCTGCCGGAGAGGAATGAGCTTCCTCACACTCGCGGTTTCAGAGGCGGACACACATTTAGGAGATGATGTCGATGGTTTAATGGAAGATGACGGTGATTTCTCAGAAAGAGATGCTCTATTTTTAGAGATGAAGGTTCGTTTGCTGATTGTTTGTTTCGCTCCAGTGCTGGTTTTGAGCGACTCTTTTGTAGGTTGGACAATATCTTTAGTTTTTCTCTCTGATTCGTCATTAACAACCTCTGATTCTACCACTAAACTGATTCGTGAAGGGTCAGAGGTCACGCTTGGAGTCAGTTCTGTATTTCCCGATGTTTCCTGGCTTTCCGTTTGAAGGTCGTTGTTCTGCGATTCCTGTATGGAAAGAGTCTTATTTTGGATCTCTATCTCCTCTGTCGTGTTTGAGATGGAGAGTGAGTGTATTGGAGGAAGTACAAGTGTATCCGATCCACAGGGGTCAAAGGTCACATCTGGAGTCAGCTCTGTATTTCCCAATGTAGTTCCTGTATTTTCCTGTGTTTGAAGATCGTTGTTTTGCGATTCCTGAATGGAAAGAGTCTTATTTTGGATCTCTGGCTCCTCTGTCATGTTTGAGATGGAGAGTGAGTGTATTGGAGAAAGTACAAGTGTATCCGATCCACAGGGGTCAAAGGTCACATCTGGAGTCAGCTCTGTATTTCCCAATGTATTTCCTGTATTTTCCTGAGTTTGAAGAATGTTGTTCTGCGATTCCTGTATGGAAAGAGTCTTATTTTGGATCCCTGGCTCCTCTGTCGTGTTTGAGATGGAGAGCGGGTGTATTGGAGGAAGTACAAGTGTATCCGATCCACAGGGGTCAAAAGTCACATCTGGAGTCAGCTCTGTATTTCCCAATGTATTTCCTGTAATTTCCTGAGTTTGAAGATTGTTGTTCTGCGATTCCTGCGTGGAAAGAGTCTTATTATGGATCTCTAGCTCCTCTGTCGTGTTTGAGATGGAGAGCGAGTGTATTGGAGGAAGTACAAGTGTATCCGATCCACAGGGGTCAAAAGTCACATCTGGAGTCAGTTCTGTATTTCCCGATGTTTCCTGGCTTTGTGTTTGAAGGTCGTTGTTCTGCGATTCCTGCATGGAAAGAGTCTTATTTTGGATCTCTAGCTCCTCTGTCATGTTTGAGATGGAGAGCGAGTGTATTGGAGGAAGTACAAGTGTATGCGATCCACAGGGGTCAAAGGTCACATCTGGAGTCAGTTCTGTATTTCCCGATATTTCCTGGCTTTGTGTTTGAAGGTCGTTGTTATGCAATTCTAGCATGGAAAGAGTCTTATTTTGGATCTCTAGCTCCTCTGTCGTGTTTGTGATGAAGAGTGAGAGTACTGGAGGAAGTACAATTGTATCCGATCCAAAGGGGTCAAAGGTCACATCTGGAGTCAGTTCTGTAGTTCCCAATGTTTTTCCTGTATTTTCCTGTGTTTGAAGGTCATTGTTCTGCGATTCTTGTACGGAAAGAGTCTTATTTGGGATCTCTGGCTCCTCTGTCATGTTTGTGGTGGAGAGCGAGTGTATTGGAGGAAATACGAGTGTATCCGATCCACAGGGGTCAAAGGTCACGCTATTCTGTTGCGGTGAGCGACGTGGACTGTGACTGCTCGTCTTTAGCAGCTCCAGAAGCCCCTCCCTCTTTAACACCGCCGCCACATCTGCTTCACTATTGGACCGCAAGATGGAGACTCCGCCCATATCCCCATGCCCCGCCCACGAGTGCCGCTTGTCCTCCGACTCCTTCAGACGCTTGCGCCGAGACTCCTCCCACATTCCTCGCTCCGCGTTCTCCTGAGGAGAGAAAAGAGTGCTGATGATTACCAAACGAGTTTAAGTTCAGAGCCTGAATTAAAGAACATATAAAAGAAATATAAAAGACCAGGGGGCCTCAATGGAGTGCTAGGGGATTCATGGAAACATTTAGAGAAAATGTAAAAAATAAATATATAATAATAAAGAATTAAATAAATAAATAATTTGAATATATTACAATAAATAAATAATACAATTATATTAGATTATATAAATATTAGATGCAAATAAATAAGTGAACAATAAAATATAAACATAAAAATATTAGTAAGTAAACAATTGTAATTATATTATCTTAATTAATTAATTAATTTAGGACATTTATCAATATAGTACTATAGTGAGTAGAAAAGGTTTGTTTTACTATGCTTTTTTCCCCAATATTTTGATATTTTAAAAAAGTATAGTATATAGATTACCAATTTAAATGAGTCTAAACAGGATTTAAACATCAAAATATAAATAAGTAAACAATAAAAATGTGATTATTAAAATCTGATGAATAAAAATAATATATTTAACAATACTGTACTGTTGTAAGTAGAGAAAGTTCATTCTAATATGCTCTTTAAACTTGGTCGTTAAACATGAAAATTATAATTGTGTAAAAATAAAAATTTGATTAAATAAATAAATAATATATGAATAGAAAGTGAGAATATATATCAGTAGGAAAAGAAGTTAATTAATTATGCTTATTTTCCCAATATTTTAATATTTAAAATCTATACATTAGTAAATTAGTCTAAACTGAGTGTTTAAACATGAAATATATAGAGATATATAGCAGCCACGCATGGCAAGTAAATATATATATTTTTTTACCTGAACTGCTTTTTTGAATTTGGAGCAGAAATTCTGGAAAATTCGGAAGCACTCGTCCAGTTTGAAGACGCCTCTGTCCTCACAGAAGAAATCGATCAGAGCGTCTCCTTCCCTCTGAACCTCATCAATACTGATCCTCAGATCCTCCAGAGCTGCAGCGGCACTCTGAAACACATCGACACACACAATCAGACATGACTTGGACATGAAACGTTGCATTTAAAATCAGACATGCCACAGGTCAGAGGTCACCTGTAGGAAGGACTGCAGCTGCGTCAGGAGCTCATCATCTGAGTGGATGGTTTGCTGTAACTGATGAACTCTTCTGGTCAGAGTGTGAAACTCATCATTTATGCTGTTAACACACACTCTACACACACACACACACACACACACAGGTTTAGACAGTAGACATCCACTGTTTTAATATCAGGGAATGATATTTTCTCTTCACAGAACCTCCTAAACATAACACCTTCACAGAAAGCTTTGTAAAAAAAACTAAATAAATAGAAGCATGATTGGGATGCAGCAGTATTTTAGTATGATTGCTATGTCAGTGTTTTAACAGTGAAATGAGTGTTAGATCAGATGATTGTTTTCTCACCGCACTGCTTGCTGAACATGCTGAAGTTTCTCTGGAAACATAATTAGATCTTTCTTCTGAGCTTCCTGAAACCAGACAAGAACAAGTGTGTATTCTGTTTATTGCATTATAGACCACCTCAGACTGATAAAGACCAGCTCAGACTGATAGAGACCAGCTCAGATTGATAAAGATCAGCTCAGACTGATAGAGACCAGCACAGACTGACAGAAACCGGCTCAGACTGATACTCAGACTGATAGAGACCAGCACAGACTGATAGAGACCAGCACTGACTGATAGAGACCAGCTCAGACTGATAGAGACCAGCACAGACTGATAGAGACCAGCTCAGACTCAGAGAGCAGCTCACAGTGATAGAGAGCACATCCCAGAGAGAGAGAGCAGAGCACACAGA